GATGTAACCCTTCACTTCTGATAACCCAGCACAGCTGAGGCCATCCCAGCTGAGGCCTTTCCCAGCAGCTCTGTAATTCCATCAGCATGTCACAGAGGACGTGGGAATAAGGTGTTCAGCTGATGTGAATCAACACAAGCACTGCTGTCTTCAACAGGAAGGCAGATGAAGTCCCAAGTAAACTTTAGCATCAAATCCCTGAGCACACAGTCACAGCTGTGGCTGGCAATAAAAGCTGTAAGCACTCATGACAGCCAGGGGATCTGCAGCTGCTTGCCTGGGGAACACCAGGGACTCATTCCTGCAGCTCCCTTGAAAGGAAGTGACGGGCAACAGGCAAGCAAACATTTCCCATTTTATCCCTACAGTAAAAAGAGCCTCTCCCAATTAAATTTTCTCATTTCAGCCATTAGCAGTTAAATCCCAGACTATACGCCACTGTAGATGTGCTGGGGCAAAGGTGAGAACGTGAAATGCAGTTCCAGTTTATTGCCATTGCAATTTCTCCTCTTGACAGCTTTACAGCCACAAATAGAAACACTGCGTGCAAACTCAAGAGCTATGAGCTCATACAGCCCACACCAGAGAGCTGCCACTGGAAGGATGCTTTGCCTGCAAAAAGATGGTATTCTTTGACTATAATCTCTTCAGGAAAGATATAGCCAGGCAAACAGAAGGAAGCACACCCAAAGAGCCACGGCTAACATAACGCAATAATTAACGACTTCCTATTTGGGAATTTATTCTCTCCTCAAAAAGCACAATCAATAGGACCTGTCTCCCTGGTGCAGAGGGTTCTAGAAACGTAGATCAATTAAATGCAGCATGGACAGAAACGCTTGCAATGCATTTTCAAGGCTGTATTTGATCAATAAACGTCTCAAGAGCTCAGAGGAGCCTCCACGGCTCAGGGAGAGCTGGGCACTCCCACCAAGAGCACATTAGCTAATCCTCACAGACCCTGCTCTCCTGAGCAATGCCCAGGGCAACAACTGCCATTTCTCTTCTCATTAAGGAACAAAACCCTACAGAACCCTGAGCTGCTTGGTCCTGCCTAAGGAACAATGCCAAGCTAGGCACGTAGCACAGCACATGTGGACCACCTGATCCCTTAAATGCATGAAATTCAGTGAAAAACACAAGTACACGTTTTGACAAGCTTATAAGATCCAGGTTGCTTTCAGCAGCAAACTGGTTTGAAGGAGGGACAATATTTTGCCATTTTGAAGATTATTAAGTAGCACTTCGCTAACAAGATTTTCCTTTTTAACAGGCCTGGTTGCCTGACACATTAAATTAATAAATTTCTGCTGCTGTTCAAATGGTATTTCAGCAGCTTCCTGAGAAACACATCTGTGAATCTCAGAAATAAGACCCTAGTGACAAGAGATGGATGTTACTGAGTCTTTACAGAATTTTTTTAAGATCTTTTCAGAAACAAAGGTTGATTTTGTATCAAAGAGGAAAAACCAATAAAGCTGATAACTTTGCCTTCACCCCGATGGCAACAAGCTGCAGTGAACCCCTATGGGGACTCACCTGAGGGAGGAGGTATAATGTCAATGTCAGGCTAACACAAAAATCTCATTGCCACTTTGATTTGCAGCATTTCCCAGGTGATGATCTCAAACATTTTTGATACTAATTGAACAAGATAGGTCCAAGCCTATTGGCCATGCAATGAAGTTGCTTGTTCTAATTAAAAAAAACAAAGGCAGATGCTTTTCTTGTACATTAATTTCTGAAACAGCACCAGCCTCACCTCTCAAAGATGAAAGCAGAAAGGGGCTGGGTTTTGTCAAGGCTTCCCAGACACAGATGTGAGCACATTCACCTCTGCATGTACAGCAATGCTCCAACACAAGTCTTATCTAACCCTTACACCTGACCAGGAAATAAAGGCAGGAATACCATTTATTTTATACATATTTCTATAAATGTTTCTATCCACATTTCTCTCCCCCATTAGCAAGTGGACTGAAGCAGCTGGTTTTCCACTTCTTGAAAGAAAGCAAGATTTAAAAAATATCCAAACCAAACAAAAAACAGCAGTTTGGTTCTATTTTGTTTTCAGAAATCTGTGCATCTGAAATTTTATGTTTGTCCTCTTCCTGCTTTCTCCTTCTAGTTCAACTCAATAACATTATGTATTAAACATAATGATCTCAAAGATCAAGATATTTCCAATCCATCTCAAGATGTTAATGCTAATCAAAAGTTGATCAAAAGACTTTGTTTGAGACACAGGAAAATCAGACTGAACAGTGACAAGACGTTACTTTATAATTCCATTTTCTTTGGATCACAAGGGCCACATGTATGGCATTATTCAGTCATTAAGCATTGCTTCACTGATGGCATTTTTTGCTCCATCTTGAAATTAGAATCAAACACTATACAAAAGTAATTAAAAGGGACTAAACCTCATGTCTCCAATTAAGCAAAAGTAGTTTTTAAAGTGAGATTGGAAATACAGGTTATACACACAGTCTTCAGGGATAGCACAGTTCATATTTATTTTAACTCACAGCAGCAATTATCAACCAGATTCTTTGCAAGTCCTTCTCAGTCTATAGAATATGACTAACAGTATCAGATAGTTCATTTTCAAAAAGTTGTGCAGAAGCAGCAAGTCTTACTGTGGACAAGGGAAGTTGCTTGTTGTATGCCCAAGGATGAGAATGGAAAAAAAAAAAAAAGATAAAAGCACAGGAATAGTTTTGGAAAGATATAAAGATGAAAAAGACAAATTAGCTGTAATAAGGTGAACAGAACACACACACTGAAGAGGAAAATAGAAATTATATATTTGTTTGGGAGCAGAAGCAGTTTGAGGAAGAAGAGATGAGTCATCCTCAAAAGAGCCATAGAAACACAGACTCCATGGGACCAGATGTACTAAATATCATGGAATCCAGTGAATCAGGGAGGGAAGGAAGTTAAAGGTGTCTCAACTAGACTTCATTGACTTTAGTGAAAGATGAAAGGGCAAATTTCACATGGAAGAGAGAAAAAATTTGGTCAACTAAATCATGGCAGGGAGAGAGAGAAGATACAATTCTGTATGCTGAAAACCAGAAAATTTGGCAGAAGAAATGAAGAATTGTTTTTGAAGACTATGAGTTTGAGAGCAGCTGACATCCTGCTGTTCAATCCTTCTGCAGGTGCCACCAGACAAAATCCCAAGGAGCACAGCTGGAGGCAGCAGTTACTTGTACTGACCCAGAAGTTTATTTGTACCATCTGCTATAGAAATATCAGCCAAGGGTAGCAAGGCAGACAGCTGGGGGTATCCACACAGAGAAATCACTCAGAAGGGGAAAGAAACTTCAGCAGGGGAAGAGGAATCTGTCAAAAATGAATAGCTGATGCTGTCAAAAGGAGCAAAGCTCTTGAGAAGGACCATCAGCTGGCCCAGAGCAGCCAGCCTGAGTTTCAGTGAACATCCTGAACAGCCCTGCAGTCAGGTTGGCCCCCCTGTTTTCACACTTAAGTGTCTGAGGAGTGGCCTGATTTTCAAGCTAACAGCAGATTTTCAGGGCTTTCAGTAGCACAAATGGTTGCTGAAAAGTACAAGCAGTTTAGATCCCCTAAATAAACTGTCCATCCAGCAGAACAAGTCCTACAAATGGCTGAAATCAGGACATCTCCTTCTTCAGAAATTCCCAGCAGGAAAGGCAGGATCCAGCTGTCCACTCAGCAAAATTCAGCTGCCACCCAGGAAATGTGACCTGCCCAGGCTGGGTCAGAGCAGGAGCTGCAGCCTGGCAGCCCTGGGCAAGGCTGGTCTCACGCAGTGTCACACATCTGGGCTGGCATGGCACAAACCAGGCTGGGCAGTGCCACTGAGAGTGCCAATGTCACACACCTGGGCTGGCATGGCACAAACCAGGCTGGGCAGTGCCATTGAGAGTGCCAATGTCACACACCTGGGCTGGCGTGGCACAAACCAGGCTGGGCAGTGCCACTGAGAGTGCCAATGTCACACATCTGGGCTGGCATGGCACAAACCAGGCTGGGCAGTGCCACTGAGAGTGCCTGCAGATATGAGGGCACACTGAGTCCACACAGCAGCAAGGAGAGAGGAGAAGGAAGAGAAGGAAGCAGCTGGAAGGATAACTTTTTGAAGAAGGAGTCTTCATTCTAAGAAAAGATTTCGAGATTTCAAGGCGTTTGGCTTAATTAATACATTATACTTCCATACAGGTTTGGCAGAAGGGGAGTAAAAATTAAAAGGATAAGCAGTTCCCCAAAAAGTGTCAAAACAGGGTATTTTAGTATAGGAAGAAACATGTCCTGTGTTCACCATAAATAAGGAGAGATGTTCCTTGAAACAGCCCCTAGAGTACATACACTCAAACCCACTAAAGTAACTTCTCACTTCAAAACAAAACCTAAAAATCCTATATTGAGAAATTAATATTATTACTGTTTTATTTACAAATATAATCATGTTGCTATCAAGCCTAAATGTTTAGAGCCTGCCACCCAGATGAATAATATATGAGCAATGAGTCACTCTCATACCTTTGGAGGATTAAGAATGAAAATTTATCTTTGTCCAAACAAGGAGATTGGGCTACTTCAGACAGAAAAGGATGGATGGCACTCAAGACTAAATTCTCAGATCTTAAGAAAGAAGGACACTAATATTTATCAGAATATTTACCAAGATTGTCAGAAGCAGGATTAGGCAGCACTGCAAATATAACTACAGATTGTACTGTGTTCAAATTCAAGAAACATTAATTCTGCCCTTTGAAACTACTTCTCAGAGGACATTGAAGCTACCATGTAATTTTAAAACAATCACAGAAATCACAGTCAATCATTTTCCTTTTTGATAACTGTACAGTGCAGTTGGAGGGAAAAAAAGCACCAAGTACTACACAGCAGCCTGCCATCAGTCTGTCCAGTACCACAGAAAGTACAGATCAATAGTTCTCTCTTTCTGAAAAGTTTACAGCATCCTTTAAAAACCTGGAAAAAAAAAAACTCACCCAGTTTTCAAGCTGACCAAGGCATCCTCAACTCCCTTCTGGTTAAACTTGGTCATGTAGAGGTGCATGTCAGGGTAGTTGTTCCGGATATTCCTCTCAGTGCTTCCATTTGGGACTGTCCCAAACCGAAAAGGAGGTGAATAATCATGTGGCCTTTGAAACTGGAGATAAAGGGGATAAACAAAGTGTTTCAGGCATCCAAAATATGAAGAAGGGCAATTTCAGCTTTAAAAAGACAGAAGTTGTGTCAATTGCCTCAAATTTCTTCTAGGCAAATCTGTGGGTCAATTCAGGTCTATTATACCAGAAACTGTCTTCACACAAAATTCACATAATCTACATCCAAGGTAAAACCAGCTCCATTTTGCCACTCAAATGTGACTTTCTCCCATGCTCTGCACTTTGGCAGGACAACAGAAGCTGGAGCAGATCCTCATCTGCCAGCATCTCTCAGGGAACCCAAGCACACTGGCAAACTGCAACCAAAGGAAAAGAGTATTTTGTTGATAGCAATTTCACGCTTCCATCTCAGTTGGGACACTGTGATTCCCCATCAGGAAGATGGGAAAAGGATCATCCTCAGTACTCAACAGGGAGCCCCAGTCCTGGAGAATGCCAGGGAGAGGCAGAGTGAGGGAGTTTCCTTCCACCCATGACTGGAGTGGAATAAAAGCTCCTGCAGCTTCCACAGGGGCTCAGAACCCATAGGCTGATATGAGAAGGGCTTCTGGAGCTCCCACACCTGTAATCCTAGTCCCTGTTCACCCCTACCATTTAAAGCTATGAACCATTTGCTTGAGGACATTGAGGTTTATTCTACAATTTTACTCTATCATTATTGCATCAGCACAGATGAACCAGCCAGGGGGGATCTGCAAAGGAATGGCAATAGCTCAGGGCACATGCAGGCTTCACACTTGGCAATCCTTCAAATAATCTCACATACATTTTTTGCTAACAGATCTGAAAATTTTATATGCACCTTTTCAACATCTTCCTTTAAAACCCAAGTGACAATTTAGGATGAAAATGTCTCTTTAAGAAACAAATTTAAAAGGTCACTCAGATTAGAGGAACTATTGGCTAATGAGGAAATTGAATTGAGCATTGATAAAAGCAGTCACCCATTAATTCCACTCTAAATGCACTCTGTTTTTATTGCTGAAGTCAGAAGAGCAATCTATATATCCTGTGCTGCAAGAGATGCCTAATATTTATACAGCTACTGATTCCTTTGGGCCTCCACATGAAATATTTCTCTTTTTAACATTTGGTCTCAGGGCATCAAGCATTCCCAAGATCCAGTGCCAATTTGCAAAGAGAATACAAATGGGTTTACACAAAAACTGGGAGTATTTTCAATTCCATCAAACCTTGACTGTGAAATTATTGCTGCAACACCATTTTCTTGTTACAGAACTACAATTAAATACTTCATTTTAATTAAGCATATTTTGACAAAGCATAAAGGAATGAACTCTATTTTTCTCTATTTGTTTAGCTAACAGATGTCTTACTTTCCTCATTTTCCCTTTTCAGAGCTTTACTGTTTAAATTATAACTTTGCTACTACTTTTACACATAGTAATTGACCCATGCACCAAAATTACACTGTACACTACTCATGATTCTTAGTCTATATTTGCTATCTCTCTTTCTGAGTTTATTATGCAGCACTAAAACAAACCCTGCTTTTAAATATATGCCCAGAGAGTCTACTGATATAAATGTAGCTTGCTATGAACTTTATTTAAATCTAGAGATAATGTGTCTCTGATGTATTGAAATGGCTTCATGTGTCTCCTAAATTTGCCACTCAATAGAACTGGAAAAAATAGAACTGCCAATTTCAGGACCTGTAAGACTTGCTGCTCTTTATATTGCTGGGATTTTTTGGAAATTCAGCTGTGGGGAGCATTCTGCAAGCTCAGTTCCCAGTGTGGCAGGAGAACTGGGGGAATGGCAGGAGAACTGGGGAAACAGGGATTTTATGGTGGAGAATTCTGGTGATTTCAAAATGGAGTTTGTTTTTAAATAGTCTCACTTTTCAAAAACATTCATATTAAATCTAGGATGTTGGCAGGCATTTCCTCTCACAGGAATAGTTGAAAGAATTAACACATCTGTTCAAATTGAACTTTCATGGCAGACAAAAATATTTCTGCAGAATACAAGGATGAATAAAAAGCCCAAGTTCATTCAAAAGTCACAGAGTTAAAAAGCAGATTAATAGTTCCAAACCCCATCTACAGACTGGAATTTCTTGGCACCAAGCAACAAATTTTATCACTCATGAGGAGATTATTTTTGAAACCATCATCTGCTATTATACTGCTGCTCACAGACTACTTGTAAAGAAAAAAGAGGTTTAAATCTTTTTTCCTAACACTGCACTCATATCTGAGATGAATAAAGTTTTCATCAATAATATTAAACTTATATTCTGTGAACTGCCACATCCTGGAGAAGCAGACAGGACTGTCACTGTCTGTGACTGCAGCAAAGATCTCTATGGCAGGCAAGAGACAAGAAAAGAAAAAATAAATCAAGGCTCTATATGCATTCATTTTCCCTAAAGCCCCATGATGAGAAACAAAATATGTCATGTTTGCTAGGAAATCATTTTCTTCCTAGACATTTCATGAAATGCTGATCTTTTAAATCATGGAGAGAACTCTTGAGCTGAATGCACAACGCCCTTGTTTGAGTCACAGATGAGAGGTCTCCTGTTACTCTGAAGAGTGACCAATTCACTCTTGTCTCCCCTGCTCTGCCACCCTACAGAACTGTAGCACATGGCAAAACAACTCCAGTATTTTGCTTTTATTTTATTTTTTCTATACGCCTTAATAAAACTGGCAATCTCATTACGTTAGCAAAGTCTTCCAGAAACATTACATACTGACTTAATTTAAAGATTTACTTGCTTGCCTGAAAAGGCTGGTGTTGAGAGCAGCTGTTTGTTGTTGTTCTGGAGTTTTTAAGGAACTTCAGGAAACACTACTAAAATACTAGAAAGCAGTAAATAATCTCCTGCCTGTCAGTGGCATCGTTAAGGTTTGCTGTTAAAGCCGCAGAGCAGCTCCTGGGCCATGTGTATGTGAGGCAGAGCCCCAGCAGAACAACACTCTGAGACAGCTCTGAGCACAGCTGCCCACCCTCCTGCAGCAATTTTTTCTGTTTCATTGCATGGAATAGGCACAAAAGGTCTCAAAAGTACAAAAGCCACGAATTTCAGTCTTTGCTGGATACTTCGGACTCATTTTCTGTTCCTTCTGATGAAGACAAAGCTTTTGAACATCTATTACGTACACAAGAATGTCAAAATATAATTTTCCTCTCATTTGCTGAATCATTTGAGTTTGTGAACACCCACCCCTCCTAACTCCAGAACAGGCTGTGCCATGGATTTCTGGGTGACACTCTGGCGACGTGGCATTCACAAATTCATGAGCAGCATTTCAAGGGATGAGGAAACTGTAAAGAGGTCTTAGAGCATAAGGGGTAAATAACATCTTATCATCACATCAGCAAATCTGGTGAACCAGCTGACAGAGGGCAACAAAATTCCTGAATGGGACAACACTGAGTGCTGCGGGTCAGGGGTGGCTGCTCAGAGAGAGGGGGGTTTTTCCTGATTCTTCCATCACACCCCAGTATCTCTAACTGGAAACACTTTTTGGCACTGGCAGTACAGCATTGACAGAAGAGCTTGACTCTTCAGGTATGGCAGTGGGAAAAGTGGGAGAGGAGAATAATTCACAAGCCCAGAAGTGGGGTTTGGTTTTTTTTTAATTTTTGCAAAAAAAAAATAATTAGTGAACTTTTAGGTATTAATTATTCAAATTTGATTACACCCACATTTCTGGCCCTTGCCTGTGACTGCTTTGCTTCCTGCAAGGGTCAGAGTTCTGTACTGAACTGTATAAACATAGAGGGGGAAAAAAGAAAGAGGGGAGAAAAACAATTTAACATCAATCAGATTACATTCCCATAAATTATCCCAAATTATTTGGTTTTTTAAAATCCAAGAAACCTCAGGATTGTGGAGGAGGCAAAACCTATGTATGACAAGAAGAATGTTCTGAAATAATTCATTGCTATTCTGGAGTTCTAACATTTTTTTTATTTAATCAGAAAAGGCATGGCTTCCCTGCCTTATATCTATGTGCTTCAGGCAAAGTTTGAAGAACCAAAAAATAGAAACAAAGGTGGCAGATCAAATAAATGATCAGCAGACCACACAACAACAGATGGTATTTTCTGATTCAAGTATTTTTCTATTTTTACTTTGCTTTTTGTGGAAATGAAATCCTACTTAGCAGTCGGAATAGAAAAAATAACAAACCTGAGGAAGTTACAGGCCAAAAGCCACAGAACAGGAGCTGACATTTCCAGCCCTGTGGCAAAGAGCCAGCGAGGAGGGGAAGGTGAGGGTCAGTCACACCTGAGCTCGCTGCTGTGCCAGGTGAAGGCAGAGCCTGCCAGAACCAGGGCCCAGGAAAATGCTCTGCTCTTGCTCACCAAATGCTCTGTTCTTGCTCACCAACAGCAGAAAGACATTTCTCAAATCTTCTTCTTTTTTATCCCCAAGAGACAATGCCATTTATCTGCCTCTTCTAAGAATATTATCTTAAAATAGAGAGATATTTAACAATCTTCATGCTCTTTCAAAGGTTTTGACAACACAATTAAATGAAAACAAAACTATTATCATTTCTTGTTTCTTTTTAGCTTTCCTCTAGCCATGCTTGCTTTGATATATCAGGCAATCAATCAAAGGCTGGTAATAAAAAGAAGTTAAAACAAAAAAAAAAACCAGACAAGGCTGAGATGATGTCTTTTTGGTTTGTTTTTAGTAACATTTTCCTTTATTTTCTGTCCTTTGAGAAAAAAACCCTTTGTGAAATTGTCCCCTGGGCTATACTGTATTTAAATATTTCTTCTTAATGTCAATATTTAGTTTCATTTTCAAAAAACTGGGCACAGACTTAACAAAAGTATGCCCTTCAGGTATCTTGTGCATATTCATCACAACAATTCTGCAATAGAATTTTTTCTATTAATATCCCACAAAATTTTTCAAGCTTTTTATTTTGGTGAGGCATTCTTTTGAACCAAGCACTAATTGAGTTCTGTAATAAAATAAAGGTGATTTTTAGTTAATGCAGCTACTTTTGAATAGGCTATGCAGAGATTTTAAATATAGATTGATGTTTTCATGCTTTGTGTCTTAGGTTTGTTAGTAAAGCTTGCACTCAGAAGGAAATCATCCAGTTTTAGTTCATTATCTTGCTCAGAGTTTTTATCAGGAAGTACAAATTTGCAGAAGGATTATGGAGAATGCACACTGACACCTTTTGAGCTGAATACCTACCTTCTTATCACTCAGCCCAGTCACTTGGTCAACAAATTCCTCCTGAATCATGAAGGCAGCTAAGTTGGCAGTGTAGCTGGCCAGGAAGATGACAGCAAAGAAAGCCCAGACTGACACCATGATCTTGCTCGTGGTGCCCTTGGGGTTCTGCACAGGCACAGAGTTGTTGAAGACCAAGCCCCACAGCAGCCACACTGCCTTCCCAATGGTGAAGGATGGCCCATGGGGATCTGCAAGTTCAAAGAGCACTTAGTTCAGCTGCACTTAAATTAAACCTTGCCAATATACCATGCAGGGACAACCCATTAGTGCCAGAGACATGATTAGAAAATATTTTGGTATATATATATTCACTGTACTCCAAATACACTCACAGGATTTACCATAGGTACCCTCCATTGCAATGACAACGAGTTCCACATTTTTAAAGCATATTTCAACATTTTTCTACATGGCATATGGTTCAAAATTTTTAAGATGAAAATGGAAAGGATAGGTTTGGAGGAGAAGCAGGCTGGTGTGTCTCCTGCAGGAAGAAATGTGCCACACTGTTGCCCTGTCAGTTTTCTGTGCCAGCAAACATGTGAAATGGAAAACTGGAGGTTTAAGACTTAATGATTCAATTCTAGTACTTTTCTTACCCCAAATTATTTTTATCATCTCCAGTCATCCAACATTATGCTTTTTGAACATTATGTAAGCATTTTTAAGATCAAAGTGTGTGAATGTGTCACCTACTTTTAAGCACCTTTGTACTCAGAGCATGAATCAGAAAGACAGAACAAAGGAGCTACCTCTACAGACAGGGAATTTAGAGCAAGCCAGGCTCTGGCTGCCTCACATGTTCAGAGTCAGTTCTGTGGCTCCAAATGTGTTGACATTACAGGTGAAATTCTCTCCCAGCTAAGCCATTCTTTAATTTTTGTTATTTCTATTTTGGGTCATCTTTTAATTCACCCCAAAGCTGGGAGTGGACAGTACACTGCCCCCAGGCTCACCCAGGGGCAGAAGTGAATGAACAATGTCATTATCCACCCCAAAGGCCCCATTTACGGAGCCTGGGGGCACCAAGGGCAGTTATTCTCACCCAGCCCTAGGTAGGCACAGTGCAATCACACATAGCTCATCACCCAGACTCCCTGCACCCTCAGTGCAGAGAAACAGAGCTCCCCTGACTGTGACTCATTTGGCCTACTTATAATTATCTTTTTTTCACTTCAATTGCAATTTAGTCAATAAGCTCTGATGCAGAAATCTGTAACTTTATCTCCTTCCCTGCCCTGTCCCTTTATCCAAGGGGATGCACATTACAAATATAGATTTAATCATTCATTTAAACTATAATTTATCTTAATAATAATTCAACAATTCTTAAAATAATAAAACCCTAAGTGGGAATACTCAGTGCATGTTCTCATTTCAGTAGAAATGCTCTCTAGTGCGGTGCAAATATTTCACAATGCAGCCAAACTCTACATCTCAGATTATGCTCCTGTTCTGCAGCAGCACTAGGAAAATAGAGTGCAGTAAAATAAACACAATGGAGCTGCAACTACCTTCTAGACATATTAAGGACTGAGCTGATACAGGAATAATGTGCATTTTTCTGAGCAACAGTGTTACAGAAATTATATGCCAAGGGAGCAATCTAAAGTTCTGTTTATGCCACTGGGGATTGTATTACCACTGAGATTCATCCTGCAAAAAATGCCAAGGGAAATGAGAGATGATAAACTTGTTTGTTTGGTTTTGTTTTTTTTTTTTTACTATTACAGGTTTGAAATTATTGGCAGCTAGATTAGTGGCAAGTCTTTAGAGGTAAGTTGGGATGGTCTAGTGCCATAACATGTCTTTGTACCTGTAAGTGCACTAAATAATCAATTCAGGCACAGAATAGAACAGCCAAGCCCCTGGATCCCCAGTGTCTATATTCACCTTTGACTTCTCTTTTAACACAGTGTTTATTTCAGACAGAGGTTACACATTTAACATCTTATTAAAATGATAACATCATCTGAACATTACAATAATCCACTTTTTCAGGGAACAAGCCAGCCATTGTCTAGAATAAATCATTTGCTTTTAATAGTGCCCAGAACTGTGTTCACCAAGCTGGAAGATCTCTTGTTATGAAACAAGGCAAGAATGATTTAGAAATTTTAACAAAGGCTGCACTCTGAAATGTCACTAAAGAAATGGGAGGATGAGGGCATGGTGAGATATGGAATCCTCACTCCTGAGTCAAAGTGCAGCTTTCACTGAGAAAGAGTTAATACAAAGCTTGTCTGTTTTGAAAATGAAGTTTCTATAACTGAGGGTGCGACACAGAAAGGAGAGATGCCCTTCTGCCAGGGGCCTCATTTCAAGGCTAAGAATTCTGATATTTACAGGGACTGTACAGAACTATGGACAGTATAACTGCTATTTTTCAAACTGCCCAGCAGAGCACGGGATTTTAGGTAACTTTCTCTGAACTGGCCATCAATTTCTAATAGCCAGGAGTGGAACATATATCACTGCTGACACTTTATGAGTGATGCCATGTACTAACCAAACACTGCCTGAATAAAACTCTGATACCACTTACCCTGCTCCCTGTCTGTATTCCATTGAATTGGAATTATAAACATGAGCATATCAGCCTTCAAGAAACACACTTTAAATGAAGAATATAAACAGCTTAATAGCTAATTGCATTGTTTTATTCCTACGTTATGTTAATTTTAAAAGATGGAGACCCAGGGATGGGAAATACATGATTTTTTAATAAACATGGAGTTGAGTAAAATGCAAATCTTACCTCTCCCTTGTGCTAAGTTCCTGTTGTATCCTACAGGACTAAAGTACTCAAATATAAAGACAGCCATGGCAGACACGATGAGAAGCATCACAAACATCATCACCCAGACAGAAGCACTAAAAGGCTCTGCAGCAAAACAGGAGAAACAGAAACACAGTTCATTAAACCAGTCACAGCACAAGAATTCTAATGTCCTCACCAGGCAAGCCCAGCAGCTTCCTCTAAATTAGCTTTTCCCAACAAAAATGCTAGCAAATAACTAAGCAATATATAATGAACTGCTGTTAGTATATATAGACAAAATCCATAAATTCGAAAGCTGAAATGTAAGTTGTAATTAAAAACAAAAGGCTGCACACTTTTCTTTGACACTGAGTGGCCCATAATTGGTTTGACTTGCTCCTTATTCAGTCCACAATCAGGTTGCTGTGTCTATTCATCCTGAATTATAGAAATTTATCAACAGAATGGTCCAACCATTGTGACTGTGTTTCTGCAAAGCAAAAGCAATTAAGCATATGTTTAATACACTTGGTAATTCAGGGAAGTAGACTTCTCTCTCATTTTCTATCCAACAAAAAGTGTTAGAGGAGGAAAGATAAATACTTGCACTCAAACTAAACGCTTTTGTTTAAGGATTCTTTTCTCTCTGTGTTTACTTTCATCTAACACCAATGAAGATGATATTTTTATCAATTGCAACCACATCCTTCTGAATGTCTCATTCTCATCTGGGAGCAAATTACTGAAATCAAAAGGGTTTATGGAAAATTGGATGTCAGTTTGAAAGACAGAAGAACCATAATTACGTAAAAGAAGTAGGCTGTAGCATAAAACTAGAAGCAGCTTCAAATATCAGACTAAGCACCAACTTTTTAAAAGGACTCCATATCAATATCAAATATCATCTTTCCCAGCCAAAGATTCTGTCATTTCAGGAGTACCTGTGGTATCTGCTTTGGTACAAGGATATTTGCTAGAAAGATTAGCATGGCAAGATAATATCTCTTTGTCAGGCCAAATTATTTGGGGCACTTCACATCATAATTTGTGCAAATAAAGCAAGTGTGAGCATGCTCTGAATTGTGAGAAAGCAAATCTTAGTATACTATCTCTAATTGGGACAGAACCAAGAAACAATTGAAATTACAGAAAATTAGTGTGTTAAAATGTTTTGCCTGTTTTTGAAAGCCCAAGTTGTTCCTCTCTTGTAGCTTTTTCATTTTCTGAATTTAAGATTAGAATCATTGATTCTTCCCTCACTGCAGGAAAGGACAATGACTGAGAGCTGAAATGTTCTAAGCCCAACAGCCCAATCTCAGCCTTGCCCAAATTCAGATGATTCACCCAGAAGAGAATGAAATGTAATAATTTGTGCCCAAGCGTAGAAAACTCATGAGGTCTTTTGTCTTTGCTATGATTTCTTCAGAAATCTGTGACTTAGACAGGACCAAATAACAGATAGCCCCACTGGTGCTTTTGGATGGTAACTAAGGCAAAGCAGGGACATTTTAAACCACATTGTTTTCCTCTTGCAAAGGAGCAGTATTTTTTCAATTCATTATTTTATTTTTAAGAGAGGGTATGAGGTTCATTCAAGTACTGTAATCATTTGTATGGGAGAGAATGGAAAGTTAGGAAAATAACAGAATTTGTAGAAGGCAGAGAAAAATCTATGTAGATGCAGCCAGGGAAGGGACATTATGTAGCCAAATACAGTCTAAAAATATTTTCTGAATTCAGTTAGCAACTGGATTAAATTGGAATTCATGTAGAACTACTATAAAATTTTGACAGCATTCTCACAGAAGAAAGAAAGGCTGATAAAACCCTTATCAAAAGCAACAGTGTAGATACAGCAATGGTAATTTGTCAAACTCTAAAGAAGGCAAAGGGCAAAATAAGCCAATGTACAAAAGTGAGCTATAAACAAGAGTTTAAGCAGAATTCTCTTTAATAATTTAAGGAGTCTGGTAATGAGGTGGTGAATTAATAGAAGCAATAGGAAAACAAAAAGCTATTTGGGATAGCAAGCAGTAAGACTGAGCAAGTACAAAATCAACTGAATAACAAAGTCGATCTTCCTGTCATATCAGAGATCCAATTACACATTCAGCACTGTGCTTTGATTCTCAAAGGACAGGAAGGGAACTTCCCTCAGGCAAGCAGCAGGTTTTAAAGGAATTTTCAGTAAAGCTATATGATGGCAGAAAAAAACTAATATGTGACTTGTTAGTGTATATTTCAAATGACTGACAACAGAGAATATCAAGCAAGGAAAACATGTCTTTGAGTCCTACCTCCCACCACCAAAATCAAGCTTAAGGAAGACATTAAATAAAGAGGGGCATAGATTTTGTATTCCATCAATGCCTCCAGAAAAAAAAACTGACCTCTCTTATGAACTCTCCCTCTGAAAAATACAAACATGGAGATTTAAGGATTTACTTTATTTATTTGGTTTTTAAATGAAGTTGAACCAAAACTCCATAGAATCATTAAAAAAGTATTTGTAGATCTAGCATATATTATCTCTAGTACAATGTGAAAATGTTTTACCATGGATAAAATTCTCATTTGAAGGAGACACATCAGAATGAGAACAGAGCAGATAACAAGGACGAGGCTGTCACAGCCCATCAGTTACTCAGATCTGCTGGGCACAACAACTGACTGGAAAAATCTAGTTACACAAAATCCTGCACTTGTCCACATTCATAGAAACAATTCACAAACCCAGATATTTCAGGAACTGTAATCAAGTGCTACTCTTCAAAAATAGTACCATATTTGACAGATTTTTTTAAAATCTTTTAAAAGTCTTACGTAAGGTGACTCTATTCTCAGACAGTTATTTAATTGAAAAAAAATCAGTCTGTGAATAAATTCAGTTATCTGCCTGATAGTATTTTGCAAGGCAAAACATTTTACTACTACGCACACCTCATCAAAATACACAGTCAATTCCAGCAAACTGGCAGCTTCATCTATGCCTGGAAAAAATAGAGCACAGACTTGATTTATTGGTGCAGTAAAATCAGATTTCTTCAAAAGTAGAGCTATTTTAGAGAGCTTTATGAGAAGGGGTTCTTTTTTTGTTTCTTTTGAATTATATACACATCCAACTAAACCAATAACATTAAATGCATTTTAGAAATCTAATAACTCTGTTGCTTGTGAAAAGTGCAAAAGCAGCTTCTCTTTTGATGGTGGCTGTAAAGAGGTTTGTAAGGGAGAAGTAAAAAATCAACTGCACTTGCACTTTAGAAAACATCCCAATTTTTATTTCCAATGGTCATTTCAACATGTTGCAACTGCAACTTAAAAAATGAACTTTACAACTCAATGACTCAAAGAAATAAAGATACTCTCTGAGTATTTTTATTACAAGTACAGTTTCTTGTAATTTCACTTAAAGTCTTTCATTCATATCAAACATCAGCAAAATCTACTTAGGTATCACCACATTTGGGAAATTATTTGATTACTCACTGTGTCATATTTACTTGCATCATCTCTGTAATGTTCTTTTATGGAAGAGACATAAGAAATAAGCTCTGTGGTTAAATGATGATTCTTGTGTAAGAAAATTCAATTATTTGCCTGCTTGTATCTGATATTACACCACTAATCTGCTCTTCCATGTCTGTGAGCAACTTCAGGGGGAGTGAAGAACTTCCACTTAGCAATTTAGGACTGGTCTCACTGCTGACCCAATGGACTTGAAGATTCTAAACTGTGCCCTAAGATATCCGGAATATACTCATTATTTCTTTTTCCACTTAATGGTTTTAGTGCCAGTATTCCAGTACAAGATATCTTTAAAAATAGTAGGCCCAAATACATCATGAAGAACCTAACAGCATTCCGGGTACTTTTGAACCACCTCGTGGCTCATTCTCTTTTCAGTTTCAGGTAAATTCAGGCCAAACACTAAAATAAACTATAAACACTAAAAGAGGAGAGGGAAACAATGAAAGGAAAAAGGCACAAGCATGCAAGAAAAGAAGCCCAGAGTCTTTGTTTCCTCATCCCACCGCCTGTCTGCCCAGCCTTTCATTTCTTTGCTCTATCTCCACTGTTCAGATGCATCAATGGAGAAAACACTCATCTCTCCAGTGCAGTAGTGTGGTGTTCAGAAGGTAGCTGTTATCAAACTAGCTTTAAACGATATCTAAAGATAAGGAAGTTGCTCTTCAACTCTACAATGGGTTTTTCAATCATTTTGTCAATATTAAAAAGGTATTAAGCAAATTATGATGGGCTAAACAAGCATAAGTTAGTATGTAAGGAAGCAGGGTTGAGGATGTAATTTTCCTAACTGAAGGTTTTAGGGGATTCTTTTTCATGCTGAAATCACTCTTTGGTTTTCAGTGTCAGTGTCCAAAACAAACAGCACTGTGTCCATGTGTTAATGATCATGTTAATCAGCACATCAGCACAGCACAAACTTCTTAATGTAAAATTCAAAACTCAACAGAACAGTGTTAATGCACTACATATCTTAACACACAGTTAAATCTACCCAACTCTACAGAAATGCAGTCAGGTTATCTGGACGGGCTGGGGACCATACCTAGGAAAGCAGACGGTGACACTGTGCCGTTGCTCCGTGACACCATGACACTGATCCCCGTCTCCACAAACGGCACCGAAAAGTCAACGACTTCCGAGCGCTCCTCGTTGATGGTGAGCGAGCCCACGGCCATCACTGCCCGGTGGTACACCACCTGATCACGGGGACAACACACACCAGGGTCAGCACAGAGCTCCTCCCTCCTCCAAAGAGCCCAACCAGACATCACTGAGTCCTTAGGAACTCTTTTACCCAAAAGAGAACTCACTTCACCGATCATCCCGTTCCACACGTTATTGACTTTTTTGCCATGCTTCCCATTCGTCACCAAGTACAGGTCATATGTGAACTTGACAGTTTTAGACAACTTCTTCAAGATATCGATGCAGAATCCTTTGCAGCACTTCTTTACGTTCGTTCCCTCATTAGTTTTGTTGCTGTCAACAGAGAAGACACACATAAATATTCCTGCTGGGAAAAACAGAGGCAGCACAACAGCAAGATACAGCACACTGTGAAACAACATTTTGCCACTCTTGTGAATGACCATGTTTTTCTGAATCAAGGCAAAAAATAACCCACAGGATGCTTTTATAGCTATATGGTGTTTGCAGCTCCTGCTAATCATGACAGAGTTGCTTGGTGAGACAGAAACAACATTACCTCACATGACATCCTTCTACTCCAGGATCCAGCCTCACGCTCTGCACTGCTCCATCAGGACATACAGCCTGCTCTTACTAATCTCTCTCTTAGGATTAGATTAAACTTTTACTACTTTTACTCTCAAGACATCAGACTACATGTCATTTAGTAATTAAAGAACATGTAAGCTATAAAAAGGCCTAGCAGTTCACCGTGCTGGAAATGGATGCAGCTTCTCAAAGTGCACCTTTCCCTGCACTAGGAGAAGGTGAACTTCAGGCCACCTTTAAGTGCAAGGATGCAAGTTTTCTCTTCATCTTTTTTTTTTTTTAATGTTCATTTGGGGACCTCTAGAACCTTTTAGTATATGCATCTTCAGAAGGCAAGGCAGTATCTTACAGCCTTTTGGAAAAATTCAAAATTAAAATAAAACTAGATCAGAACTTAACAAAAAAAAATTTCTCTGGACTTCAGGAAGCATGTGTACAACCATTTAGCAGTCTCTGGACATCTTCAGAAACATGGATCATATTCCCTCACACCTGATCAGTAAAAATCCTGTTATATTCAGTTCATAAATACACAGATCAAGGCATAGAGCAGGTGAAACACCACTGACAAATGTACAGTGGAAACTCTTCCAGTGATTTCTAATGACTGCTCTGAAGTTATGGAGCATTGACAGAAGGGGACTTTTCTCTTGATAGTAAGTCACAGTGTATTTTATGCTGGAGTAGTTTATTCTATACCAAATTTCAGCATAAACTTAACATTTTCATTAGGAGACATTTTCAAATTGTTACAGACTAATGAAAGCAGGCGTATCTCAACATAGCTGGAAACAACTCAACGAGGGCTCATTAAAACAGTCCCATTTTGGAACACAATCTTCTTCCATGTGACTGAAATGGGCTGATTCTCATTGACTTTGAATTTACTATAAAGTTACTACCTTGTTAATAACTCAATGTGACTTACACGTGTATAACCAGAAACTCAACTTTTTAAAAAGGAGGATGTGCAAAGAGCATACCATGAGGGAAAGGGGAAAAGGAAGGGGGGAAAGGAAGGGGGGAAAGGAAAGGGGAAAAGGAAAGGGGGAAAGGAAAGGGGGAAAGGAAAGGGGGAAAGGAAAGGGGGAAAGGAAAGGGGGGAAAGGAGGAGGGAAAGGAGGAGGGAAAGGAGGGGGAAGAGGAAGGGGAAAAGGAAGGGGAAAAGGAAGGGGAAAAGGAAGGGGAAAAGGAAGGGGAAAAGGAGAAAAGGGGAAGGGGACTATATTTTTTGCAGTCAAGAGAAGAAAAGGGAGCATTGTGTATTTACTCACTTAAGTTTGACAAATTTCCGGCAGGGCACAGTGTTTTTTTGGCAGCTCTCCATGAGGGGATCCACATCCTCCACGATGACGAAGGGAGCCTCCTCCAGGGTGACAATGCTCAGGTGGTTGTCGTCGGGGTCGCTGTCGGCGAAGGAGCTGAACCTCGGCCACACCGAGTACTTGAGGCTCAGCGAGTTGTTCTCCCACTTGCCCACCTGAAAGGCCAAAAGCCACAGACTGCTCAGAGCTGCTTGATGGTGCTGGACAAAGGGGAGCCAATATTAAATGGGCTGGGACACAGGTACAGGGAATTCCATGGCCAGGACAGTTGGATTGGGGTTTTGTTGTTAAAATAACTTTAAAATTTATTAGCAATTGCATGAAATGAGAAAATGCACAGTGACAAAGACAAATAAGGTACATTATTCTAATAGGTAACTGCTTTATACCAACTGGGTGTCATCAGTTAACACCATTTATCCCCTGGTGCTACATGCACTGAAATTTGACATTCAGCACTTCTATTTGAGCCAGAACAGCAACCAGATACTCTATTTGCAACCAGGACCCATTTGAAGCAATAAAAAAATATTTTTTAAAAAATCAACCAAACAAACAAACCGCAAACAAAAACCCTAATGCACACTCACACCTATGCATCTGACCAATAACCAAAATATCACAAAGTCATTTCAGTACCTTCCCAAAGAGAAGAGTCTTGTGTTCTTATACATTGAAAAGCCATTGTAAAAGCCTTTACCCAGGCTTCCACTAGAGCCTGACCAAACCACATTTTTAGTAAGAATTTCCATTAGAAATAACTATTTTCCATTAGAAGGAACTATTTCATCCTTCCAACTGTTGGGTAATTTTAAGAAAGCAAACCCCACTGCACATGAAAATTTCCAGCTTATTTACTATAAAAAATATCCCTTCTAAATTAACCCACATTTCTTTCCATTTCCAGATCACCAGAAGGAGGTTTATGATTTAAATACTTTTGAGTCTAGGGTTTTCCTCCTCAGATTGTTCAACTACTTTCTATCCAGAAATCTAATTACATGTTTTATCTGATGACAGATAATATAAATGAGCTAGCAATCCACATAATTTATAAACCTAATGCATTTTAATAATTCTTGAGCTGCTTAAGCTAAACAAATGACAACATAATCATAAGACTGTTCAAATATTTCTTTTGCAAGGAAAATGGTGGGAATTAACAGTACAATCAGAGACTCAGGCAATTTAAAAAAATTAAAATTTTTACCTATGTTCTGTCTTCTAAAAACTTGAAAATTAATCCCAAAAATTCCCAAAGAACATGATTTATATCCATTCCTATTTTGGGAAGCCTATAAGCACATGACCTTTGCAGTTTTCTTTCCATCCTGTTTATAAGTCAAGATGTTTTACTGAACTTTCATGTAGGAGGCAGAAATGTCAAATCTCTACTCACTTAAATTAGGAAATTCAAAGTATCTCAAGGGAAGTAGGAATTCTCACTTAAATCCATGGGAATTGTTGTATATGATTACTGTGTATATATATTTCTAGTATGAAATTTAACCAAAGCCTTTAGGAGAAAAGCTAGTTCAGCCCCAGGGGAGTAACCTATTGTTTCTACAAAGAAACCAGTTTAATTGTGGAGGTGTGATGCTTAATGGCAATGTCAGCAGTGTGTGCTGGATTACGTGAGCTCACACGGTGTCGTCACAGCCCTGAGCACAACATGGAGGTGACCATCTGGAATGGGAGGATTCCAGCCAGCCCAGGCCCTCAGACAAACAGCAAACGTGCCAAGGGATGCCAGGGATTTCAGAAGTGGAAAATGTGCCTGACCGTCTGCCTATTCCACACATCAGCAAGGAAACGTGATGGCATTTGTGTGGTCAGGAGGGCAGCAGATCCCAAAAAACTTGGGGCAGGATGCTGGGAGGAGGCAGATCCTGATCCTGGGGCACATTCCCTGCCAGCCACCCCTGGCATCTACACCCCTGTCACAGGGAGCACCTGGAACCACCCCAGTGAGGTCACCAAGTCCTATCAAGAACAACAGTGATTGCTCTGGTGTTACTAACAGAAGAACACCACCAAAGTTGATGATATTCTGATATAATTTCTGATATTCTTTCTACTTCAATGGGAGCAACTTCATTTTACTGTTCTATATTCTGATACCATCATTTCTGATATTCTTTCTACTTCAGTGGGAGCAACTCCATTTTACTGTTCTGAGGAGGATATAACCAGATGCATTTAAATGCCTGGATCTGGAGAAACGCTTATTTGTTTTGAGAGTTGCATCTATGAAACTGCTGTGTTGAGGTAGTAAACACAGTAGTATGTATTTGTAAACCAAATTTTTAAAAAGAAAATTCAAGCTGTGGGTAACACACTAAAAATGCAGACATGCTCCACTACAGAACTGTCAACATATCCATTTATTGTACTATGTACAAATGACACAAAATATCCAGAGACTTATAAAAAATTTCCTTCATTCCTAGTTATATTGATAATAAATATGTGTTTGATCCCAGAGAAATACAGAAGGTGACCTTCACTTGAAAAAAGAAATAGAAACATTTCTGGGACAAATTGCATCCCAAATCATAGAAATCCTCATTTACAGCCAAAAGATTGGAAATTACATTAAAAATATGGTTTTATCAACACATCAAACTGTTGATTCACTATGGTAGGTGCAAAACTCATCTTCAAGTAAAGTCACGCAATGGTACATACAACCATTGTATTTCTTTTGAACTTGCACATTCTTTCCTATTTTCTCTGACTTCACATGCAGTCTGGAATATTCCCTTTGGTTTAATCTCCACAGGATGCAAAAAGCAAAGAGGAAAATAGCTGAGAGGACGGAAGAGCTGGTTTGAAGTCAGACTGAGGTAGCAGCCACAGGGTGTTCACCTCTTCTCATCCACTGTTGCCTAAAGCTCCCCACATCTGACTCTGGCACAGGTGCACAGGTGCTTTTACCACCCCATCCAAGCCTTGTTATCTTTGGAAGATTGCAGCCAAGGAGAGTGAGAATGAAGAATTTGGTGTGTTTCTGTGCGGCAGACAGAGACCTGCACAGTTCCACATCGCTGTACCTGAGTCCCCCTCCTGCTGCATCCCAAAGAAGTCTCTGAACAATGCGAGGGTGATTAACACAGCCCTGCTCACACACCTCACAGAGGCCATCAAACCAGAGACAAAGAGCAAAGCCAGATCCTCAGCAGAGCTTCCCTGTGTGCCAGTGCTGGCACAGAAAGAGATTCTGTCCCACCAACATATCTCACCAAAAACAAACCAACACCTCAGTCCTGTCACCCTCCTCCCAGCAGATGGGAGCTGTACACAGCACACACCCATCACCCCTTTGTCAGAAAAAATGTTACATGACAACAACGATACTAAATGCACTCCTAGGACTATCCAGCCAAACCTTTCAAAAGAGAAAGATTTTCAGATGTTCCTTTTACATTTAACACACATACATTGCACAACAATACTTTTTGAGCTGTCTCAGTTAAGAAAATAGTGCTGAGCAAATAAAAAATCTAGCCTATCTTGCTTTATTGAAAAACTATTTGCTACTATTTTTTCATTACACTTTTCCACTTAAAAGAAAGAGCTACTATGGCAAGGTTTAAATCAATAACTAAAAAGCTAAAATAGATTTTGTCAGGTTAGCAATAACAGCTGCAGAACAAAGCACAAGAACAAAACCCTTCCTCCAGACACAGCATCTGCTGTACACCACCTGCTGCAAACCTTTGTGCCGCTTTTATGCTTCTGAAGGTCCATATTTCACAATGGCACTCTAAATTTAAATGACAAAATATGATGTGAGCAGTTCCATGTCTTATTAATAAGAAGTGGTTTTGAGTCCTGAATGGTTTGAAGACATCCACTTAAAGACTTTGAAGTTTCCAAAATTTGCTGCAAAATTCTCATATGGGGAATGCAAATGTCCTGCTCCTCCCTCATGGCTGCTGCTGACACCATCAGGAAGGCACCAGTCCTGTGCCCAGCAGGGCTCCAAGGAAAACACAGCATCCAGGGAGATTATAAACAAACAGGAGGAGAAAGAAAAGCTGCCACCTCCTGCAGCCTCATTTTTCAATACAGAATTATTAATTAGCACTCACCAAATCCTCCGGGGCTGGTACAGTTTTGGTTCTGGGCAATGTCCCAGATAACTCTGTGCAGTGCCAGAGCTCAGGCTCATACCAGAGAAGCCATTTTAAGAGTTGATTATGTCATTAGAAAGAAAGAGAGATAAACAAATTGACAGCTCATTCTTCCATCTCCCAGTAGGGGAAGATTTTTTTGTCACCTCTGCACTCAGTGAAGACCTTACAGCTCTCCAGAAATGCCCAGACAGACATACCTTTACCTTCAGAGAGGGAGAGCTGCCTTCAGAGCCTTCCTGTTCTCTAATATATAGGTGTAAAGAACAGGGGCAAAGCACACCACCTTTGCTTTCCATGGGAGTTGTGAGTCCTTTACAGCAGCAAAGAGGTGGGATCCTCCTTGGGAATACATGATTTAAGAAATGCTGCATAATAGTTGGTGCAATTCAAACAATTCAGCAGAGTAAAGGTCAAAGGAAAGGCCTTTAGGCTAGGCAGAAGCTCACTGATACAGAAACAACATGCAATTTTCAGCTGACAGTAAGTGTCAGGACAGGCATATTTACAGCAAGGCTAAATACACAAAACAACAAGGATGGAATACAGGGAATGACAACCCAACAGATGTTAGAGAGCACGCTGCTGCTTCTGCTATGGGCAAAAAGAATATATCACATTACAGCACAGAGCTACTGACAAAAGATACCCCAGCAAACAGATTATTAGCTCAGGCAATTTCATCTGTTCTAGTTAAAATATCTGCATTTCTCACCAGTGTTAGGGAATATCCATCAGGAGACACAAGGATCTCTCATCTGTCATGACCCTTGCTCAAATCAATTGAGGTTTCACAAGAAATTACCATGGAGCACCTCACTGATTTTTTTATCCCCACAGTGCTCTGACAAAAAGCTCTGTCAGAAATCTGCCTGAGACTGGGTTGGGTTTCTCAGCTCCTGCCCAGTGAAGTCAGCCCCAGGAGCTGTCTGTTCTGGGCTACATGACAGTGGATGTTGGTAGCCAGATGGAGCTCTCCATGAAGACCTTGGTTCATTTATTCCAGGCAGGAACCATGCACCCTCTGCCCACTCCTTCCTACTTAGATACAAATGTGTACAACCCCACACAGAGCCTGTAAACCTGGCATATGCTACTTAACCAGAGAAAAATCCAGTTCTGCATTAAATCCTGCATTAGTGGAAAGTTAAAGATGACAGGCTCTGCTTAGAATAAACCTGGATTTAAAGGAACAGTTCTTGCAGTGTGTTTCATTAGCAATTGTGCCATGTAGTACACAAATTCACCCAGAATACAGACCACCATGGTAACTTTATCTGCATCTACCTGGAGCATCAGTATTTTTTTTTATTATCTTTACACATGGAACACACTCATCATTAAATGCAGTCTTCCCCACCTCACTTAACATATGTGATACACGCTGCTAATCATATTCTAGCATATTACTTTAATATTGGATTGATTTGGTTTCTTTCCATATTAAAAATAAGCTAAAATAAAAAGAAAAAAGCCAGACTAGCAGACTGTGAAGTTCAGTGAAGTTGATGGGCCAGGTGAGGCATGCAGGTCCCACCTCTCTGATGTAACATGAAGAGGGGAGCTGCAGCTGGGGCTGCTGAACCTCTGAGGGTTGCTGAGCACCAGCACAGTGATCCTGCAGTGCTTTGCTGATATTTGGGCAATACTGCTAACTCTGGTAAATTTTATCAAGTTTCACTTTAACGAGCACATTAAGCTTGTCTTCTTAAAAATCTCTTGCCTGAGAACAGCATCCCCTTTGCCTGTCAAGAATTTGAACGTTGGTGTCAGAAGTTTGAGAGCTGCTTTAGGATCTGTCAAAATATCTTGCTGGATGCCTGTGAAACATGCCCAAAAAGTGATTTTTCAGTCTTCAAACTATTATCGTTCAAACAGCTTTCTTCAGCATCTGATATGGGACAAACCCCTCAGCCAACCCCACTTACATGTGAAGTTACCACCTCAAAGTTTCAATACTGAGTAAAGAAAAAATAACTTTTTTTCTGAGGGGTGAGATAAATGTTCTCCAGCTTCTCTATAACCTTCAGATTTAAGTGAAGTATATAAATTCTGAAACCAAAGAAAAATTGTATTTGAATAAAAGCAGTTTAAAAACAAAGAAAAATTGGTTTTAAAAATAAATCTTGAAGTTTTAGGAGGATACCAGGTAAAAAATTCTTCACATAAAACACAATTACTCTTTCTACATAAATAATAAATTAGCTACTTGCAGTATGCACATTAGTTACATTATGAGGATTTACAGGCTATTGCACTGTCATTTTTTCACGTGAGTAAATTATTTAATTAGATTCTAAGACTTGATTTTTCCATATAGGATTGAGGATATTTAATAAGACTTCAATAAAACCATTCTGTGATATCCCTGCTACACTGTAAGAGAAAGGAGAAGCAAGTGCCTGTCTGGAAACTCAGAGGAGCAAATGTTAGATCTCAGATGAGTAACTTTGACAGTTTTGAAATTGAGCAAAACAGCTCAAGGAGAAAGGAACAAGAGGAAAGAAATTGCTGAAAAGATATGGGGTAAAACCTGCAACTTGGAGAGAACATTGAGACAACACTAGAGAGCTGTTCAAATAAACCATGTGGAAGAGAAGGGCCTCCTCAATCTCTCAGTCAATGGAGCTGAAGTGCATGGGGACACTGCTGAAAAGATGTGGGGTGTGCCCAGACAGCCCAGAGCTACATCCAGCGTGCCAGGACAATTGATCAGTCACTTTGTTTGTCCTCATCCACAGAGGCAGGATCAGCCTGTGGTCAGGAGAATCAGCCTGGTGGTGACAGAGCGTTCTTGGCCGCCTCTCACGTCTGCCCTCTGACAGAATTCCTAATTAAAGCTGGCCCCTTTCCACAGCCCTTCTGGAGCAGCGCCAGAGCTGCCCTGCCCTCACTGGGCACCAGCAGGGCTCCAAACCAGGGCCACACACCAGCACACACATCCCTTTCTGTTCCTCCTCCTAGAAACCCCTCAAACCTGACAGAGAGCAGGAAGGCATTCACCAGCTGGAAAACTGCACAGGCAAGGCCAGGATGAGCCTCCAGGGAGCCCAGCACTGCAGGGGAGTGGGCATTGCTGCCCCTGCAACCATGGCAGGCACTGCACAACCACCCCAAACCTCATCCTCTGACAGGAGAATCACTGGAAGGTTAAAACAGGCTCCAGTTATTCCTTGGAATAATGTTCGTTCATACATCCAGTATTTCTTTGCTGCTGTTAGATTATTTTCCAAAAAAAAAATCAAACCCATCTCTCCTTGTCCTTTGAATAGTGTCTTTAGAGAAGTTTCAAGGTACAAAATGTATGAAATTATTTTAACGTAAGCATTTTTGGCAGCCTCTTTGAGCATTTTCTTCCTTTGGCACCTCATGCTAATAATATTCCCCAAGCAGTGTAATATTTTTCCAGAACATTATATATGATATGCAGACTGTTGAAGAATTTTAAAATAGGGTAAGAAATTTTCATAACAGTTAGTGAGCAAATGATTCCTCCAAAGATTCAGATTGACACATTTGGAGAGGATTAAATTTATCCAGAGAATTAAATTTGCATCAAATGAACATAAAGAAATACACAGCATAATCTAGGACTACTCTCTGTGTTTCTGCATGACTAGCATATTTATTGAGATGTCCTTCAGTAATTCTGATTTTGTCATTATTATTCATCATCATGAAAAGTCTTGTAGTCTTATAAACTGGAGTTTTAAGCTGATTCAATGGGGTTTTAAAACTATAAGAAAAAGAATTCATAAATTTCAGCAGCAATTTAGATAATGCAGAATTACGTCTCATGAATTTAAAATAAAACTGGTGGATGATTAGATGTATGTTTTCCTACAGTCTTATATTAAAAACAGTTTCCTTAAACAAGTTTTCAAACATAGGGCCACAGCCTGCAAAACTCAGAGCCAAAACAATCACAGGCTGAGACTGGAGTTTAAAAGAGATGATGCTTGTGATAAACTTTTTCATTTACTACTTGCATATATGATTAACATTGATGCTACAACATTTTTCCTTCTAGTCTACATAGAACTCTATATAGAGATCACATTCCTACCTGGACTAATCAAGATTCTGAATTTTTTAGGCAAACAGGGATAGGATTATTCTCCAATTCAACAGGAACTTCACATTTGGGTTTTTTAAGTGCGCTTTTACTATAAAAACTATCTGTCTTAAAAAACACAAAATCAAGCAAATAAAAGAAATGGAATATTTAAGATATAAAAATCCATCCAAATTCAAGTAGCTGAGGACCAAGCTTTTGGACACTTTTCAGTTATCCATTTTACATTGCTACATTTTAAGCAGAACTGGAAATGCAAGGTGCGTTTCATAGAAATCTGAACTCCACGTTGCTTTTCTTCACTGATCTGTTAAAGCTCCTCAGATATACTCAGGATGGTGCAAAATGGTCCCCTCTGAGTGCTGTGGCACACCTGCAGGAGCAGGAGCCCTGAGCTGTGACAGGAATCCATCCCCAGTCCCACAGCAGCGCTCACCTTCTCCCACTCGCGCTCGTTGTTCAGCACGATCACCACCAGCCTGGGGTGCGCCTGGTACCCGTCTGCTGTGAAGGACAGATCTCTGCCTTCCCACGTCACATTCATCATAAACCTGCAAGGCAAGGAGGAAAAGTTCATTGGAAAATTAATGGGCTGGCTGTCCAGCAGTTATCGAGCAGCAAGCGCAGTCACCAGCAGCACTGATGGGATCCGTGCACCAAGCCCTGCCAGTGCTGTGGGAATCCTGTGCTTGCAGCCTGGGGACTCGGGGCATTTCAAGGCAGTTCACAGCTCAAGACAAAGCAAAATATTGTTGGTGTGTGAATTATAATGCAGACACCATTTTTAACAGCTTCCATGCTATACATGATTAATCTGTCCCCTCCCTGAATAATCTTTCTGGCACTTGGCACAACCTCACCAGTTTTTCAGGAGCATTTTAAACAAACCCACATCACCTCTGTGGGTAGCGTTGTACTACTGTGTCACTGAGTAATACTCAGAGCAAACACTCAATACTCAATTCATCCAATCTGTGTTCCCCTGTTCAGACCTCCAGAGTCCTGTCAACTCCTCCCAAAACTGGAGCTACACACAGTGGTGTTGTGCCACGAGCATAAACTCCACTAATGCCAAAACCCCACATGAAAGCATTGAAGGTGTTGGTAAATATTCAGTTCAGTAATTTCAGAAGAAAAAGGATTTATGTTTTTATTCTTTTGTGTTTAGCTTAATTTTCAACAGTTTTCAAAAGACATATTAATTAATTAGTATTTTGAATAGAAAAAAAGATAGAAGGACACAAATTAAAATATAAAAGAATGAAAAAATTTTAAATTTTGTTGAAAAAAATCAGAACTCCACATTGTTAGTGTAAAGCTGACAGGGCTATTCCCATAGTAAGAGGTAAAACTGCAATTCAAAATCTTGGAAAGAAGACAATGCATCCCCCAGCCCATCTCTGTGGTCTGAAGTTATTCACATTGAATTGCTCTGAATTGTCACTGTATTGAATTGAAAGAAATTCAGCCCAAGACTGATGCAGACAGAAGTACAGATGTCCATCCTATAGAGAGATGTGTTCCAAAGGGCAGAAATTCACTGTTCTTCATATATTACCTGCAGTGATTTACCCACAGGATATCAATACTGTTTTATATGTTTATAGAGGTTTGGAGGGAATTTTTTGGGTTAGCTGATTGGTTGTTATGGCTGGCTTTTTCAGCAGTAGTGGCAGCACAATCTCCTGGGGAATGTGACACAGACAAAATTCCTCAGCTCCAGATTCAAAGGAGAAGGCTTTGTATTGACATAGCTGCCTGAAATCCCAGTAGCAGAAGCATACTAAATAAACATATATAGACCCAGAAGAAATAATGCCATTGTATCATAACAGTTAATAAATAAATGTGCACCTGGACAGCCATATTAACATCATTCAGCACCAGTTTTACAGCAATTTGTAAATTCACCCATTGTAATAACTCACATTTCATTACAGACTTCCAGTGTCAAAATTTTCCCCTTGACAGAACTTTGCTGTCCAGTTGAACTAATTTCCTGTATATTCCATTTTTCATCCAGCAGTGAAAGATCTTACTTGGGAACAAAAAGCTTGTCTGCCACCTTGAGAGGCAGCAAACACCAAACAGGATTTACTTGTGCTCACATGTGGGGAACCAGCGCAACATTCACTGTGACCCAGGGAGCGAAATGCCCTGGCAGTGAGCACAAGAGGAAACCAAGGATGTGCTGTGAAAACAGCAATACTTGCATTTGCACCTCTGCACCCTGTTCCAGTTCACACCCAGGAGGTAACATCCCTCACAATGAATAAATCACCTGACAAGGCCAAGGTTAAACCCCCTCATTCCACTGGAGCTGAAGGCCAAGCAGTGTGTCCCCTGCCAAGGGACCCCAGACACACACCCTGCACTGCATCGGGCTCTTGTGCTCACCTGGGCTTTTAACCACACTGAAAATGGTGACTGGACTGGAGGTTGAACCCTTCCTCAGTAGGATCATCTGATTCCAAACACCACTCATCATATTTTGGGCTTAATGTTCAAATTATTTCAAACACTACTCATCATATTTTGGACTTAATGTTCAAATATCCTAGCCTGGAAGCCAGGCAAGGGCCACCACAAGATGCAGTGCTGAAGCTCAAGTGTTCCAAAAAGACTACTATGAACCACAGCTCTAAAGTGAAAAATTGAGCTCAGCGTATATTTTAAATCATGTGACTTTACAGCTATTAAGTAAGGAAACACATTTTGCAAGGTTTGGGTTTTTTTTTTTTTTAATTCCCTAATCTGAAAAGTCTCTTAAAATTGTATTCTCTGATCCTGATACAAAGGTGCGAGTGACGCACTCTGAGCCAACCCAGATTCTCACACTGCAGCAATAAGAAAGAACTTCAAAGAGATTCTTGTTTCCCCAAGCACATTCTTCTGTACAAAATTCATCAGCTGCTGTGTTCTCCAGAAATCAATGCCTACAACCTACACTTGCTTTTGAATTGTCATTTTTCCTCTGCAAAGGACAGAAGTCCTGCTCTGCTTTTACTGGCCACGATCCCAAACTGCTTTTCCTACAAAAAATGCCCAGTGCTTGTCTGCTTCTGTTAGGAATAATGCTGTGAAGAATTTATATTATGTTACTCTTCTGGAGTTTTAAGTTTATCCAAGGTTAATTCTGTGCAGGAGGTCTTTGGCTTGTGAATTGGATAAAATATTTTTCTGAAGTAGCTTTGGAAATGCAAATTCCTGTTCTTAACTAAATGAGGTGTTTAGTTATTTGAACTCCTTACTTTGATGGGGCAATTAGCGACATACCTTGGATTTGTAGTTAATCTGTTTTCATTCCTCATTAAAGCTACAGCCTTTGCAAAGGCACGACAGCACAAGGCCTTGTGATGGCATTATGACACTGAAGGCTTAATTAACTTTTGCAAACTGAAATTTGTAAGATTCCCTAAGTGATACAAAATGGCACCATTTTTCTGACAGAAGTTAAGCTAGTCTCACATAGAATCCAAAACAGGCCTTTTATCATGCAAAGAACCAAACCTTAACTATGTATTTAAAAACACTTTTAAACATTTATACAATTCTCTTTTGCTTGTCACCTTCCCAAAAAAACTGAGAAGTGTTGGAACACCAGAACAGAGCACTTTTGCTGCTGTATTCACAGCAAGCCTTAGAAGCACCCAGGTTACAAACTTCTCTAAAGGTTTCCAACTTCATTTTTCTAAACCTCAGAAAGATCAGGTAGTTCACACAGAGCTTCAGATTAATGCCAAAACTGCAATATTTATCCCTGTCAAAATCCTAACTTTACCCTGAAAGCCAGAACATACTGAACAAGCTGGGGTTTCTTACCCTGTAACTACAGTATCACAACTTCATTGACTCCAATTCAATTAACAAATGGGTGAAGACTGCCAAAGGGATCAGGGCTCAGTTTTCTGAGCACCATTTGCTTGGATCCAATAGTGCTGACACAGAGGCACCTTTCTGGCCAGACTCCTCACAGGAGACATGGACTTCCTCATCCATGAGTGTTTGTTAAGGATTTCCTATACTGGATGAGAACAGCTGAAATCCTGGAGCAGAATCTTTGAGGTTTTCTCAAAGAAAAAGCAAATATGTTTGCAGGCTATGGCATTTCTTTTGAGCTTTACCATATATATATCTATTCAAGAAACACAAGTGTTCTCCTAACACATCCAAGGATTTGAGAGCAAAACCAAGAAGGCTTAGTGGATTCTGTGTTGGGCGTTATTTTAAGGAAAAAAGCCATAATTTTATGTAAATTATTAAGGTCACTTTGTTTCAAACAAAGATGAAGCCCAGCCCTGGTGTCAAAACCTCCTCAGGGTGACCTGAGAGAGCCACCAAGGACAGAGTGGAAGCACAGCAGAGCAATCCCACGGCACAGAGGTGGGTGTGAGGCCAGCTATGGAGCCTCAGCACCCTCCAGGTGCCCTCTCTGGGCATCCTCAGCAGGGACCCTCTCCTGCCCACCCACCTGGGTCCCAAAGACCCTCCAGGACTGGTCAGGCTCAGGAACACAATCAGCTCTGCAGTAAGGGGCTTGTCTATAATTAGTGTGAAATTAACCTAAAATGCACACCAGCAGCTGGGAAAAACAGAATGGGGAAGGCAGAGGCATTGATGAAAATGTGTCACCTCTAAGCCACCTTCTGAGGAGAGAACTTAATCCCTAAACCTGTAAAACAAAGCACAGGGCCTGAGAGCTGCAGGGAGCACAAAGACCAGGGGACTCCTCTCTGCCTTGAGTTCAGAGCTACATTTGCTGCTCTCAGATGACATAATCACACTTGATTAACTCCCCAGGTGCCATCATCAGGGACTATAATTTTTTATTTAGTGTCTTCTTCACCGTGGGGCAGAATTTCAAATCTCTGAGAGCTGCAAGCAATGAAGAGAAGCAGGAGAGGCTTGGGGAAATACATCTTGCATAAGAGAAACTCTCCCTCTTCTCTCTCAAACAAGGAATTTCCAAACTGAGATTTAAAGCAGATGAAATGCCTCAAAACCAACATGTTATCTGGAGATATTTCTCTTTCCTGCAAATAGTGTAAACCCAACCATTTTAATAACCTAGACAGCCAGCTGATCTGGGCTTGGCATTCACTCAGCCTTATACCTAAAAAAGCAGGAGTGAATGCAAATTTTGTCTTTTCTTCTCTATCTTGTTGAGGCTCTGAACTGCTGAACTTCCTTGCTATGATTCATCCATGACATTTGAATGATACTTATCAGTAGAAACCCCCAAGACACATTATGTATCATTAAGAAACAGATTTCCTCTGTAAAATTAAATCAAAAAAATACTTAATGTAGACTATATAATGTGTGAAGTACATACAGAATTACATCTGCAATAGAACTCTATTAAACAAGGTACTGATGCATTTTTAAAGTCAATTCTATATCTTATGCTATGTAGGATTTTTTTTTCTAAATTCAAATCTTTTGCGGTGATGCAGAGTCACTTCTTCCTCTTGTGCAGCCTCCTCCTCCTCCCCCTCCCAGCCCTCATTCCTGCACAAGGGTCCCTTGCTTTGGAGCTGTGTCTCCCTAG